TCTCTTGTGCAATTTGTAGATAAGTCAGTCACTCAGAAATAATTTTGGTATTTTCTGACCCAAGCTGATCAAATCCATAAATTACATTTCATGCCATTCAAATGCTGTTTCCAACCCTCCAGCCAATTTTAGAGGCATAGTAATTTATTTCTCTAAAGGCAGACAGGCTTTCATAAGTACTATATAAATTCTAGCGTAGCGTTAGTTCTGGCAGGTCACGTTAGTCAAGCTCGCATCAGCTGACTCTCAGCTGATCCCCATCAACCTATGGGAATACGACACCTATCTAAGTATTCATATATAAGGTCCCTCAGTATTATCAGCAGTTTTCGCATTGCTCAATAGCTAATTAAATGGTGAATTCAGCAGACAAAACACCATCATCACTAGGAATCGGGAATTTAGAGAAGTGGAATTCGCTTCCCCAATGGTCTCACCTCCGATTCATTCAAGTTCGTTAACTTGAACATGTGAATTCACAGCATTGATTATAAGCTGACTGATTCGGAAGTGACTGAGTTAGCATTATTTCACGCATCACAACATTATTGTCATGGACTCCACGAGTTATGTGACTGACTCAAGAACAAGTTCAGATGGGAACTTCATCACCAAGAAGGATATCAAGAGATCAAGCATCCACTTCACAGCTGCTATGTTTCACTCTCTCGAACGTCTTCACAAGCTAAGTTCCATTTAATGCTCTCAGGTTATCTGCAACATGCGTGTTGCTAAGGCTATCTGTGTTGCTTGGGCTCATTAAGTTGTTTTCAGTTAAATGCTTGTGCTAGTTCATGCGCAGAAACACTTTTATACTGCTTAATACAGTGCCATTTGTTAATGAATGAGTTAAACATTAACATATGCTATTTAAATACAAATTAAGTGGGGGTGTATATGCTTTCATCAGTGTTTTTTGAACATGACTCAATATAGCAGTGCGACTACCTAAAAAATGCTTTTACTGTTATAAAAACAGATTTGTGAGCATCATTGGAATTGAATGGTTAGAATATGCAAGCTTAGCTTGGCATTGAAAATGGTCAACATGTGACCGAAACGTTTGCCTTGTTTCACTCAGTAAATTGCTTATATTGCTTTTATCTCGCTTGTGACTCTTTGATGTTTGAGTGTGTGGACTTTTTTCAAGCTCTTCTCCTTTGGGAAACTTTTTGGTCTACGCACCTCAGTTGGATTATTTTGAAGGCGCGGTGAGTCTCTGGCTGCTTCTCTAGAATATGCAACACACATCGTGCTTGTCATCACAGAATCTAACCAATGAGAATAAAGTGTGTCGTCATACTTTGAATGCACATGTGATCGTAGGGCGGCTGCAGCGCCGATCAAAGTTGGACAAAAGCATTTTTAATGTAACCAGAATGCATTGTTTTTGACAGGTGGCAGAATGCATTGTTTTTGACAGGCGGCAGCCGATCTTTGCGGCGGCGCATAAAGTCGAACAAGCCTAATATCTCTAAAGAGTGTGTTTTTGGACGTGAGGAAAAGATAACCTTATTCAGTGTTATGTGAAAAGTGGATGCAATTTGTTTTTCCAAGGCAGCAACGGAGTTTCTCAAGCGTGTTTGTTTGTTCCCGTCATTAGCACACAAAAGTGGAAAGACTTCAGGAGTTTCGAAGTCGTCATCGGATTTGTTGAATTATACAGGATTTCCGGGAGACGTGTGTGTCAAGTTCTTTAACGTTCCGCTGGAAACAAAGATACCATGATGCCAAACCCTTACGAAAGAAGAATGCCGTCGTGTTTACAACTGTGACGACGAGCGCTTATCAGGATCAACTAAACGCTGGATTCTCAAAGTATGTAAAATATTTAAGTTTGCGGCACAGAATCTTTCAAATACGTCCGAGAGTTACACACCGGTCTGTTATTGAGGCAACATTTCCACGCCCCGAAACGTGCCGCTGAATGAAACGAACTGTGATTGGTTGTTTGACAAAGG